TATTTCCATTCATTTCCCTTTTCTCCACTCCTTTTTTTTTTTTAAAGTTAAGATATTTAATTTTATCTATTTAATAAATAAAATTTACAATATACTGAATTTGAGAAAAATAAAGAAGAAAATAATGAAAGAATACGATATCCTTTTATTTCCATTCATTTCCCTTTTCTCCACTCCTTTGATTTGGAGAAACTCAAATTAAATATATTATTAAGTAGAATCTATATTATGTTTCATTCATTTTATGTCTTTAATTGGATGTCATTATATTTTTAATGCTGTAATATTTGTTTTTCTACAACCTTTTACATTATTTAGCATCATTTCATTTTAAGAGATTCATGTTTTACAATTAAGTTAGATTGTATGTTAAAAATGTAATTTGAATATTAAATAAAATAAAAATTGTAAAATTTATTAATTAAAAAATTAATTGAAATAAAATTTTTTATATATTTATTATTTTATAAACAAAATTTAAAACTTTAAATTTATAAAACAAATACATTGCAATCCCTCTTAGTTAAGAGAATGAAAAAGAGAGGAGTACAGGGGTTCCATCACCAGCGCAATTAATGAAGAAAGCTAAACCAAGAGAAGCATCACCCCCTCCATTAATCAGGAAAACTAAACCAAATGAAAGAGGCGTCATCCCCTTACTCTTCTCTCCTCCCCTCCCCCCTCTCCTCTCCTTTTTTAGGAATGGTAATTTACCTCGATTCACATGAGATCCCATGAGGATTTTCATTCTCCGTGAAGAACGGAGAAATCTACCCCTCATTAAAAATTCCTACAAAAATTCCTATACCTACCATTTCGCGATGATAATGGGAACCGAAAGAGACTTCCTGACCTAACAAGACCTGTTGACATCCCTATCCTTCCCCTCCAAAACCCCCAATCCAAACAAATGTTAAGGACAATTTATAATTTTAATATTGAAACAACACTTTTAAATTTGAATATATAATTCAACTTATAAAACACCTTTTCACTATTATAAAAAATGATTTCCTAAAAGCCAGTCCTTGAACCGCTTTGTCTTCCAAGAGAAAGTTAAATAACCGTGGATGTTAGGATACTCCGCCTAAAATGAAAAAACCCTCGTAATTTTTCCATGTTTTTTCTTTCGTTATTATAACAAAAAAATAAATTGATTTCTATTTCACATAAAAGTAGAATCCTACAACAGAACTATTAGAGTATAACTTAAGTACACCATTAATTCCGCCTTTATGCATACAAAAATACTTCGGCTTCAACAAAAAAAAAGACATACATATATACACACACTAATAAAGCATGTTGCCCGACACCATTACAAGAAATTTTCCCACATGTTGCCCTACAATATTTCACCTGATAAAAATCTACTCCTGGAAAACAGATAAGAGCGATGAGATGATAAAACAACTTGGCATCAGCAAACTATTACTATTTATACAACAACAGCGCCAAACTTTTGAGAGCACTTGGCCTTCTAGTGCGAAATTCTGCACCAACAATATGCATCTCATCTTGTAATCTGAGTGCTAAAAATCCTTAGCAGCCTGTTGGTTGCTTTAATCAAATACCAACGTGCAGGCTCTTGAATGTTGAATCCGCAGAAGCAAATCTTTATCTAACAAGTGTCGACAATGCTACAAGGCAATTTCACCTTAATTTCATCAAAGACATAGCTCTTTACAACCATAAATGCATCTGCACCAATCAGAAATAACATGAAATGAAGTGTTGTTATATAATTCCAAGGAAGAAAATTTAGAAAACAAGACTCCATCCTAAATCTTAGTGGGGTTCAATTCACTCTAAGTCTTGACAATCAACACACACATGTCAAACATGTATCATGCTTTCAAATTCAGATGGCTTTCAAGCATCTTAAGTATCTCCTGTTAAACAACTCATGAAAGTGACAGATCCCGTGGACCAATGTCACCTGCAAAACAATAGCATTATTTATATTTTGCTTAAAAACAGAAACCAAAGACAAATGTCTCTGGCAAGAAACAACATTTATATTGCATATTTTTATTTTCTTTTTCAAGGATGGTGTGAGTGGCAACATAAAAATCTGGAACACAAATAAAAATAGGGATAACTTAACAGGTTTTACCTGTTACTTTTGCAGCCAAGGTTTTTATGGAAAGAAATTCTCAACTCTGTCTGCCAAGATAAGGAGAAGCTGAGCCTGAGGGTGTTGGAGGAGGCCGCTTCACAAATGGATGATGTAAGAGCTGAACAGCTGTTGGACGATTATTAGGATTAACTTGTAGACATCTCAGGATAAAATCTCGTGCATCTTTTGACAGAGAATCAGGAACTGGTGGTGGCTCACCCTTCCCAATTCTAAACAATGCTTGCATCTGCTTGAGTAACAAAGCAAAGGAGGAGATGTTAACAAAGAGGAAATGGTACTTAAAGTTGTAGTTGCAAGACTGGGAATAATAAAATATTGTTGTCAGGTTATAAAGGGGAGCACTGGTAATCTATACTTGACACACTAGCAAATAGGGGTGTAATACTAGTAAAGACAATGCCAAACTTGATCTTGACTCAATTAACCTTATACATGTGCTTGGCTTGATTAATTTTACATAGAGCTCAACTTGATTAACCTAAATTGCTATTCAATTAATTATTATCTTCAAAAATAAACATAAAAATAAAAATAAAAAGCTTTAACTGTCAGCTCAAGCTCAACTCAATTATCATTATCTTCTTGAATAAATAATTATAAAACTATTAAAGACTATTGAAGCTCTAAAATACCTGAACCAGGTATATGCCACTTTGAGCCCAACTCAATTAAATAATTGATATTAAGCTTACACTTGAACTGAGCTTGAAATCAAATTTTGGCTGAACCCAAGTTCAAGCTTAAGCAACTCAATTACCATGACAGTATAAATTTCGAGGCAATTCCTCCTCTACTTTATTTATTTTAGTCTTCCCTTGGGGTTTTTATTGCTATTTTTTTTTTTCCTTTAAATAAAAATTCCTTATTTATGAAGAAAAGAATGAAGGCAGAAATAGAAGAGGTGCTTGCTTACACATTCCAGATGTGAGTAAGGAACCTCACGGGTTAACATCTCCAATACAGTACAACCAAGGCTCCATATATCAGCAGCAAGGCCATAGCCTTGGTTTCTCAGATTTACTACCTATAATTGCACCACTTATAATCAGAAAGACTATATATATTATTAACCACAACTTCAATCATAAGTCAACATTGATTCACACAACAAACATTTATTGATTCTAAGAGGAAATGTAGAGCCAAACCTCTGGAGCCATCCAAAATGCAGTGCCTTTGCAAGATTTGACATCATTCAATTTAGTGGCCTGAAATCAACAAACCAGAAAAATTGTTTCAGAAAATTCACAACAATTTAAAAGCTAGTACAGGAAAGAACATAGTTTTAGACAGAAGAAAACCTTAGCCAATCCAAAATCTGAAAGTTTCACAGATCCATTTGCATCCACTAATATATTCGCACATTTAATATCCCTTTTGATATGAGAAAAGAACAAAATTAAGGTTAGATAAAGTCATGTAATGGTATAGACTATAGAGACTTTAGCATCAATGCCAGTTTGATACCAAGCAGAACAAATGTTGATGGTATAGGGATTATGAGTGACCTTATCCCATAAAAAATTAAAAGCAACTTCCTTCTTTAAATCATGAAAAACAAAAGAAATATAAACTTTTTTGTTGGCAATTAAAGCTTTATACTAATCTGAAATTTTTGTTCTCAGCATGCTTAAAACAAAAGAAATATAAGCTTTTTTGTTGCCAATTGATATGCTGATTGGAAAGTGATATGACTTTGATGTTTAATACGCAGACATTTTACCTATGAACCACATTTCGGTCATGAAGATACTTCAGTCCGTGCAGAATCTGTCTTGTGTAGAAAGAGACTTGAGAATCTCTGAGGTTATACCTCTGATAGAGATTTAAAAGGGAGCCTTTTGTCACTAGCTCAAGGAAGATATATAATTTTGACTCATCCTGCAAAGAGAATAAAATTAAGAGAAAAAAAAAGAGTTAGTACATAAATTCATAAAACTGTATTGTAGTTAGTTTCCAGTGCAAGTTATAAGCAGCTAAATCAACCAATCAATATGGAAAGCAAGAAATGTTTACCTTATCAGTGCCATAATACTGAACTATGTTTTCATGTTCAAACTGACTTAAAAGTTCAATCTCCTGGAAAGAAAATTTAAAAAACAAGAAATCAGCACAAGAATATGTATGTTTAAACAAAATGGAAAACAGAAAGTTTTGCAGAGGACAAAAGAAAGGACTACCCACCTGCTCAAGTTGGAAAATACTCTGCCTTCCTTGACTTCCTTGATCAAGCAATGAAACTTCTTTTACGGCAAAAAAGAATCCATCACTGCAAGAAAATCAATGAATTAGTTATAAAGAAAGCAATATTAATCACAGAATAATAATAATAATAATAATAAGAGTTTATTTCACTAATAGTATGTTTGGGTTGAGGGAAATGGAGGGAAAGGGGGTATCCTTCCATTCCCCCCCCCTTCATTTGGTTAAGTAAATGAATTAAAAGAAAAAATAAAACAAAGGGCATCCTTCCCCTCCCCCTCCTTCATTCCCCTCAACCCACCCAAACCTACTATGAACGATAAACATGATCATTGATCAGTAACAAGAACAGAGTCATGTGAAGTAAAAGAGAAAAGTGTTCTACAATTGGACTGACAAAAAAATGCCGGTATGTACAAGCGCAACCCTTGGATATGGAGAAAAAATCATATCTAAGAGCTATGGTTGTTTGAACTGACATTTTTTTTTTTTTTTTTTTGCAATTTCCAAACTGAAAAAGTCTAATATCAGTAGCAAATAATAACTAATAAATAAAATTTATAAGCAGCTAAATCAACCAATCAATGTGGAAAGCAAGAAATGATTACCTTATCAGTGCCATAATACTGAACTATGTTTTCATGTTCAAACTGACTTAAAAGTTCAATCTCCTGGAAATAAAATTTAAAAAATAAGAAATCAGCACAAGAATATGTATGTTTAAACAAAATGGAAAATAGAAGGTTTTGCAGAGGACATAAGAAAGGGCAACCCACCTGCTCAAGTTGGAAAATACTCTGCCTTTCTTGACTTCCTTGATCAAGCAATGAAACTTCTTTTAGGGCAAAAAAGAATCCATCACTGCAAGAAAATAAATGAATTAATTATAAAGAAAGCAATATTACTCCCAAAAAAATGAACACAAAAAGAGTTTATTTCACTATGTTTGGGCTGAGGGAAATGAGGGGAGGGGAGGGGAATGGAAGGATACACCCTCCCCTCATTTGGATAAGTAAATGAATTAAAAGAGAAAAAATAAAGAAAAGAGCTTCCTTCACCTCCCCTCCTTCATTCCCCTCAACCCAAACATACCACAAAGGATAAACATGATCACTGATCAGTAACAAGAACAGAGTCATGT